TTTTTCTTTTTCTTTTTCTCCTAATTCTCCCAAATCAACAAGTTTCATGCCACCTAGCCTAGAATGTCTTGTGGTGTCAACAAAAATGAGGGCACTTGTCTAACTCTTGCCTTATACACTTAACTAGTTTGCATGGCCTTTACTTATCTATTATGCATGTGCTCCACATATTTTTCCTTTTTTTAATTTTTTATTTTTCAAAACAAATTTAGGATAAATAACAAATGTTACATTTTCCCTTTTTGATTTTACCTTACAAAAATTCATTTTTATTTTGAAAAAAAAATTTGAAAAGACAAAAGAGACTGAAATTTTTATAAGAATTTTTTTTCCAAAATTTAATGCAAGAATACCTTAAAAAAAATGATGAACCTAATTTACTAAAATAAATAAAATAAAGACTAACTATCATCTTGGCAAACTTAGTCAATTGAAATAAAATAAAATAAAAAACAAGCATAAATGATAAAAATTAAAATAAAAATTAAATAAAAATCGAAATTTTAGTGTCTACAAGTCCAACGCATAAGTCCAAGAGATGACCAGCTTACCTCGAGCATTAAGTGCCTCGAGTACAAAATGACCGTTTAGGCATAAACAGATTGGATGATTACCGATGCAAACAGCTGCCTTACCTTGTTGGCTTTTAGGAGTGGCATGGATTGAAATTAATCACGTTCTTGTCTCTCAAATAGGGATGGCAACAGGGATGGCAACGGGGGCGGGCATTTGCGAACACCGGCCCCACGGGGGGTCATTGGGGCGGGGACAGGGGAATTTTTTCCCCCCGTTTAGAAATGGGGCGGGGGATGGGGGTATACTCCCCCACCCCACCCTCCGCCCTGCCACGCGATTGAAAAAATACATATATATATATATGTATATAATTATATATATAATGATATTATCAATTATACTACTAATTATACATGTCTATTAATAAAATTTATTAATTATTTATACTAAATTTATTAATACATTTATGTTAAATTCCTAACTACACTTAATACAATAACACTTTTTTAAAAAAAAACACAATAATAATTTAGTGATTGTATTTGTATCAAAAGTGAAAACTTTATTATTTTAGTTATATTTGTTTTATCATATTAGATTGTATTCAAATAATCTTTGTTTAATTATTTTTATGAGTTTCAATTGTGAAGTTACAATGAATAATAATTTGGTGATGTATTGATATTTTAATACATGATTATTTGCTCAAATTTAATTATAATAAAAAAATTTTAACCCCACGGGTGCCCCCGCAGGGGAAGCGGGGCGGGACGGGACGGGACGGGGGACGGGGCGGGGGGGGAATTAAAATGCAACGGGGCGGGGGTCACCAAAGTACCAAAAAGAGAATGGCAGGTCAATATTTTAAAAAACAATACAACAAGTAATCGAAATCTTTGCGTTTCTTTCTAAGTTGTACTTACCAAGTTCAGAAGCAGCCGTCCTGAAAATGTCTTCAGCCATATGCTTCACATGGCATTTTGATGGCGATCTTGACACGGAACTGAGGTAAAGAACTCGTTCTTCTATTGTTGGCTCCCAAACTAGTATAATGTGCCATCTACATGAGCGATTCTTCAAGCAATTCTTGAAGCACTCGTACTTGAGGAGAAAAAGCCTTGTCATAATTCAGTATCTTGCAAGCATAATTAACTTAGTGAGGCATGTTGTGTTTATCTTTGTATCCCATATCGTGAGTTTTACAAAAAAAATCTCTCCTTTTGATAGTTAAAAATACAATAGACTTAAATGAGTTTAAGTGTGCTAAAGGCACCGGTCCAAGTGTCGTAAGCCCCAACACAAGAGAGTTTTAGACGACCCATGTCCCAGTATAAGAGGAGTTTTGATTAGGTATCAAACCAAAAGAACAAATTATGGACCTTTTGGCTGTTAAGTATTATAACTATAACAAACTCTTTTGTATTTTCAATTTTATCTGCCTTTGAATTTTGGAATTATTTTTTAGGGCATCATACTCTCCCTTTTGCACTCTTTTTTTGTTATAGTAAATCTAGTATCCCTTGCCCGTGAACGCAAGTCAATTCAATCGAACCATGTAAAATTTTGTGTTTTTCTATTTGCTCTTTTCGTTATAATAAATCTGCTATACTTTAGCCTATGGATGCAGGTCAATTCGACCGAACCATGTAAAATGTTGTGTTTTCTGTTTGTTTTATTTGCTTTGTTATTATTGTTATTGAGTTATCAAGAACTATATTGTTCTCATTGGTCAATATCCTGAGACCAAACCTAACAAACTGATATCATAGCTTCAGGCTTTGAGTTCTTGATGACTATGACAAACTATCAATATCAATTCCAGGATGTTGATTTAGCGCTACAAAAAGTGAAGAAAGAGCCATTGGAGTTCAGTTTGGTTTTTCGTAAAAAGGAACTATTGGCACGTTGGAACTCATTGTGGCTTTTGAGAAGAATGTGGAGCAAGATTACTATATTAATGCTTTTAGCCCGTTGGGATCTGTTGAATCTTTCATGAGTTTTGACTCGTTAGAACTTGTTGGTCCGTTGGTGGATCATTGGGGTCTTTTGTGGTTCGTTGGGATCTGTTGGAACTTTTAAGGAAAATGTGGAGCTTGTTTACTATTTATCGATGTTGGGTACATGTCAAGATAGAGATTTGTTGAGTTTGTCTTTGTATCCCCCATTAAAAGTATTACAAAGAAGTGTCTACTTTTGATGGTTATAAATACAGTGGATTTAAATGAGTTAAAATGTGCTAAAGACATCAACTCAAGTACCATAGGCACCAGTCCAAAAGAGTTTTAGAGGACCTATGTCTCAGTCTAAGAGGAGTTTTGGTTAGACATCAAACCAAAAGAGCAAGTTATAGGCTTTTGGACCGTTAAGCATTTTGTGTTATTTAAACTTTTTATATTTTCAATTTTAAGTGCCTTTAAACCTTGGAATTATTTTCTAGGGTTCGTACTCTTTCTTTTGTACTCTCTTTTTGTTATAATAAACATACTATCCTTTCGCTCGTGAACGTCAATTAAACCAAGCCACGTAAAATTATGTATTTTTCTATTTATTTTATTTGTTTTGTTATTGTCATTATTGAGTTACTAAAAACCCTGTTGTTCTTGTTTTTTAATATCCTAGGACCAGATCTAGCAAGGCAGATTGAGAATTCAGGAGAAAAAGGGAAACTATGCTTTGCTTATTGTTTACTGGAAATTGTCAATATCTACAACTCGATTAGTAATTCAAGGTTCAGTTGATAGACCAGATTATGTTATGCAAATGCAATATATTATAAAGTTCGAAAACTTGAATGGCTTTTTCTTTAAAGAACGGAAAATTAAAAATATTACTACATCCTCGTTAAGAGCATTGGTGTGAAGTAGGAGTATAAATAAGCCATACTTGAACTTGTGAATAACTAGGTCAAAACTTGACCTAGTTCAAATCTAGTTTGGATTACTTGATAAGTGTGGTAAAAATGATTTTAAAACTTTATTTGATAAATGAGCATTTAAATGCGACTTTTGTACATAGCACTAATTCAGGCTTAGGCCCAACGAAACTCAACCCCTATGTCAAATCTAACTCTTTTAACTCAAGTGCCAAAGCCAAATGGAGTGCTTAATTAATGTGTCAATGGTAGAAAAGATTACTCTTAGCAAGCCATTATTGCACATGTCACATATGTTCGGCTATAGTCATCTTAGGATAATGTAGCTCACAAAGTGGTAAATGAGAATTAACTAATTAAATTTGTTGTACCCACACTGAAATTGGGTACCTAACTACTACCGTAACGTTGAAAAGCTATATACATTACATAATAAGCATTTTTTCTATTAACATAATAATATTTAATTTATAAAAAAAAATAGCCCTTGTTTCGATTTTTCTACCCCAAAAAAATTAAGATTTAAAATCAAATGTACTTTTTAACTCAATTGTTCCACTAATTTCACAAACTAGCAAGGAAGAACTGAGACATGAGTTCCGCTTGCTTTAGTTTCTCAAAACATTTCGAGCAATAGGTGGATCCTTTTGTTCCTTTTTAACTCTCAAAGTTAAACCATTGTTTCGAAACTCAATTGGCGATTGCGAACCGACTGTGACTTCAGTCTGGTACATACTTTTGGTTGATTAGACTTAAGAATCGGTGCGAATCGTGAGAACCATTGGAATTGGGATAAACCTTTGAATCGGTGATTTTTTTTTTTTGTCTATTAAATTGATGAAAAAGAAGTACGTTCTTCTTAATCCTAAAGACTAATCATTAAGTATCACACCCATTCACTTTCTTCCCATCTTTTGTTTCTTATCAAGTTTTCATCATTACTTTCTAGTTTCTTGACTTCCTTTGGCTTCAAGTTTCTTTCCCCCTTTTTTTTTTGTTTTAACAAAGTTGCAACCTTTTATTTCCAAAGACATGGTTTAAAATTTAACTTACAATATCTAATTCCGAAAGACATGAATTTTGTTTAATTTCGAAATATTATGGTGTTTTTGGGTAGGATTTAAAATTATAGTTTGGTAGATACAATTGAGATGAATTTTTTTGTTTGAACTTATAATTTAAAATTTTTATTTGTGAAAGCCTAAGTTGTTTGAAAATATTAAACTTTTTATCAAATAGAGCTTTTATGTAGTCCATTTGATCTTATTCTGTGCACATATATTTACATAATTTATTTTTTAAAAAATTCATTGAACCGAGATAGAAGTAATTTGATTGGTTAAACCGTGATAGAAACACCTTGCCAGTTCAATTAATGGTCTGGATTTCAACAAATTGAGTTAAACAAACATACGCGACCAAAGAACTGCTTGGAGAAGAGAGGTGGAATGCCAACAATAAGAATTGGGAGGCACGCTTGTATGCCTATTCAATGACTGGTTTATAGCTAATCAGCTCTAATTTTTTGTTCATGTATCCTTCTTTTTTCACTTCAAAGATAATTTAGTAAAATTTAAGTTTTTGTGTTCTCTGATTAAATAAACCACGTGACTAAGTAGAATTCTCTAATTATATTCCACCTAACTATTGTGATCAGTTCTCTAGTTTTATAAACAATTAAAAAATTGTGTTGGCGTTGCATTACTAATTGAATCGGATCGCCAGAAGCCCTTTGGCCCCTGCACAGCCTGATGTTCATTGAATGTCGAGCGTATGCAGTGATTGAGCTTTTCATTCTTCCTCCAGTGCCATTTATTTTGGTCAAAATTCCTCAAGTTTGTCGGTGTGCTCATAGCTGTTAATCAAGTCATTGCAGTAATTGGCAAAGAAAACCCTTTCGCTCCATGTAAGACCTTCCATCTTCTATAGCTACTTGAAAATGGCGTAATTCCAAAAGAACTACAATTTTTCCGCTAGATGTAAATCCGAGCGCGCATATACAAATTTGCTGTCCGCGTGGTCTCAAACAACTTAAACTTCAGTAAGGGGCCTATAGCTGGGTTGCAATGAGTGATCATTGCTAGTATAGGAGCAGAATAGACCCCGCAAAACCTTCAATCAGCAACGCTGGGACACCAAACCCTTGAATTCTAGAACAGGCAAGGCTGGTGCAGAATAGGAAGCATACCGATAGACAATAACTCCAAGACAAGACAGATACATAGCAGCTGCCATGTACATTTCTCCACCCATGGTATAAATGAGAACTTGCATGAGTAGTCCCAGCAATGTGTCCAATGCACTTATATCGTATGCCACATGCATAAACTGGACAAAGCCATGAAGGACAATAGTGGATCCTATCAACAGAATAAGGTTGTTGATATTATACCCCACAAATTGCCGGAGCGCCAAAGCAACAGAGACACTAATCACCTCAACCATAGACTTTACAAGTCTCCCAATACACCGATATGGAGAATGCCTTCTATAGTAGTATAGACAAAACATCAGTATTTGCTGACAATACCCAATCCAATAACCCAAGATAGGTTCAACTATCCGATCGTTGACCACGATGTGTACACTATACACAACCCCGTAAAGAAGTACCAACATACCCAGTGAACTGAAGCAATACCACAAACTATGAACCACTCCTGTCAGGTTGGGAAACAAAATGGAACAATTGAATCAGTTCACCAGCATATGATTGAAGGACATTTAACTCAATTTCCAGTCAAGAGGAGATAGCAAAATTCTTAATGTTTGTTCAATAGATAAACAACAGTTTTAGAGTGTCTACCAAAAAATATAGTAACCACCTACCATATTTACACAATCTTCCAGTCAGGCGTGTGTAATTACTTTCATTCTCAGTCCATTCTATTGCTTATGTCCCTCGACATGTTTGTAGTGCATTAACATAGATTGACAAGAAAAGGGTACAAAAGAAAAACCAGAGAGTTGTGACAGTGGGGAAAAATATTTCCTCAGCAGATAATTATTAATCACATAATTAGCTAAACCTACCTGATGGTTTTGTCTTTATTGAATTTCAAACATCTAGCTCAATATTAGTTCCTACATCTTGGCACGATGTCAAGTTTTTAGGCAGCAGAGTAGGGCTGGCAGTACACACCTAAAGAAGTTTCGACTGGAGTGGGTGATGGAGGGTTACCAGCATGTGAAACTTCAACTGCAAGTGCAGGGGGAACGAGGGGTTTAGTGTCAGGAGGGGAAGAAGCTGACGAGTCCATGATGGTGGAGATAGGTGCGGCAGCTAGAAGAAAGCACCAAAAAAATGAATAAGAAATTAGTGATCATACAAGGGCCTTAAAAATGGAGTAATTTCATGATAGTTACAAAAGTAAATCAATCTCTGATAAGATTATAAGAATTGCCCAATAGCAACGTATGCATAATCGTAATTGTATATAAACCAACAGGATCAACGAATTCTCCAATTAAAAGATAAGCTTAAAGATACCGAGATTATCCAAAATCATGATTATTGCAAAAATGGAGGGACATTGGGGGGTAGGGGGTGGTACAATAATCAAATTGAACATAATCTAGAACTTACAAATTCCTTTGAAAGAGGTCTTAAAAGATGGACCCTAGAAAGGAAGTAGTGAGAAGTGATGATAGAGATAAGTGGCAAAAATCTACTAAGGTTTATAGAAGGCGTGGAAGGATGTGTCGAATGCCCAAGCATTGATTTTTGGCATGCTTTTGATGATAAGGAACCAACTTGAGAGTTGGTTTGAATCCTATTGAGTTTGTTTTCTGATTTTCACCATCAAGGGTATTTTAGTTATTTGGTTAGCTACAGGAATTTTATGTTTATGATAATTTTCTGTTTAGTAATTAATTTTGGTAATTAATATTTTAGTTGTTATGGGGAATAAAAAAGCTTAGCTTTCTAGCATTCTACTAGAATTCTATTCTAGTTAGGAGTCCTAATTAGGATTGGAGTTGGTTTTGTTCTAGTATCTATAAATAACCACTTCTCCACAAAGAGAAGGCAGATTTTTCGTCCATAAAATTTTCCTGCAGACTCAACGTCTTTCTTAGGACTGTGTGATACATCCTAACTTTAGGTGTGATGCCTAAAGATTCCTAGGAGTGATTCCTAGAATTACTAATAAGTTTTTCATCTTCTTAAGCATATTTTCTCATCCTATTCCAAGTTGCTATTTTAAATTCAAGTGAAATTCGATATCTGGGTTTTTCTATCAAGTTGTTGTGCCTACCAAGTGTTCGTGCTGCGTCAAGTCATCTTTGCTCGGAACAAGAACTTCTAACTTAACTTGATTGATAGGCATCCCACTAGAACATCAAGGAGATAAATACACCAAACACCAGCAATTGTGTTGTGTGCAGTTTTCCAATTACAATGAGAATATTGACAAAGCTAATGAGCAGTACAATCCTTTCAACCTTCTCTTCTTCTCATTCATGAGTGAGGACAATTTGAGAGCAAGACAATGAACTAGTAACTACAAATTTAAAAGCACCAGCCCTACATACCGTACCATTGTGACAATAGCTTGCAATGAAAAGCAGCTGATGCATGACAACAGACACTTACTACTTTGGTTCAACTGATGGTTATCAAAAAAAATTGCAATTTACAAACAATAGTCCTATTCTGTCTTTAATACTACTAATTTTCACTCAATTACCATGGTATTTGTCATCTTCTTTCTTTATTTTTCAAATTCTTGGCAACCAAAATGGAAAATTTCTCAGAAGTGTACCCCCTAAAATCAGTCCTCAGACCTAGTCACCTCTTAACATAAGTACTGCCTCCTCTTGAATAAGGCCAGCAATTTGGCACTCCACTACAAGCTTTAGGCACTTCACAACTATAATTCCTCAACCAATACGATACAACACTTATAGAGTGAATTCTCAATGAATTTAAATGTCAAATCCACACCTAATTACATAATAAACAAGGCAACTTGCATGGTTATGACAAAACTTTAACTAGATATCTACATGACTAACAAGGGGACAAGTAAAATTAGAACTATAGCAAGGTGCCGACTCAAACACATATCTATATTGGGTTTCTTCTCATTAAATTAAAAAAAAAATCTAAAAAACAAAACACAAGAAATTGTTGGACAAATACTCGTAAATAACTAGTTTAAAATTTCTACAAGGCAGTTAACATGAAGTAAAATAGCACTTAATGACAAAAAATGCAGTAAGCTAAAATGTAAAACATTTTTTGAATAATCTAATCAATTACTGTTCATGAAGACAAATATATGGGAACGAAGCTGACCAAACTGCATGGTCATAGAGAAAGCAAAAAGACGATAGCTATTTCAATGAAAGGGTTTTGGTTTCGACTAACTGGGGATAGTTTTTCTTAGAATTGATGAACAATTCACTTGCATAAATTACTCATCAGACCTAAGTTGAAAGATGAGAATACATGGGATTCACAGCTTTTCAGCAGGCCTTGTTTTGCTAACTTTTGAATAACAACTTGCTTTAGAGAGGGAGAGAAATTGAAGTACCCTTGAATTTCAAGCAGCCAAAAGTCAATATCTGTCCAAAAACACACTAAACAACAAATCATCAAGTGAGTATTCATTCATTCTAACCACTTTTCTACCTGCAACATGTCAACACACAGGCCTTTTAAGCCCATTCACAATATGTAACTCACTTCCATAAATTAGTCAGCAGACCTAAGTTGAAAGACGAGAATAAATGGGATTCACAGCTTTTCAACAGGCCACGTTTTGCTAACTTTTGAATAACAACTTGCTTTAGAGAGGGAGAGAAATTGAGGTATCCTTGAATTTCAAGCAGCCAAAAGTCAACATCTGACAGAAAACACACTAAACAACAAATCATCAAGTAAATATTCATTTATTCTAACCACTTTTTAACCCACAATGTGTCAACAGACAGGCCTTTTAAACTCATTCACAATATGTCTATATAGTTGGAAATCAACCTCTCTTACAAAACCCTAGTAATCTATCTAGAAAATCTACCATAAGGATTCACCAATTGAAAATTTCAATTCAGACCACGAAACGAGTGGATATCTGAAGATTAGAACTTTATGGGGCTGGGATGCCTTTTAGGCCTTTCAAGTCCTAAGGTAAAGAGTTGGACTTTTGTGGCTACCCACCTTGCAATTAAAAACCTAAATCTTCAGAGGCAACTTCTAATCAATAAACAGAGACCACATGGTTGATGGAAAAATGCCACATGTGGGAGTATGGGAGTCAAACCGGATACACATGTGACCATTGGTAATTACAATAGCAGATGTGCAATGGCTTCTTGAAAGCAACATCAGTGTATGACACAGACTTCCACGTTTAAGACCCTTCCATTAACTCCTAAAATCTCCATGAAATATGATAAACAGAGACAGCTAGAGAGCGAGCGAGCGAGCGAGAGAGAGAGAGGGTGTGTATGTGTGTGTTAGTTTAAGACACTGTTTCTGGGTAATTAATAGTTCTTAAAGATGCAGTGACTATCCAAATTCCAATGTATCATTTGCTAAAAGATAAAAAAAAATAACAAATTGCAGATAGCCTCATTTCAACATCAAGGCATACTGATGTTGCTTAAAATGCTAACTCATGAAATTTTCAATATCTTACACTCTTTCAGTTTACTAAAAATGGAAATTATGTGAGTCCTCTTAGCTGTATGAAAAACATTATTAGTTCGTCTCAGGCTGCGGCATTTCAACATCATTCTTGACCTTTTATTCTAGACCCCATAGCATTTATGAATATATTAGAATTGATATCAGAAAGTATGTGCAAGCATTTTATCCTTCAAATAACTGGAACACATTCCACAGACCGGAACGTAGGTATCTGTTAATCAGCTTGGGTATGATGGGATGAGTCCACAATCTTCTAGCTTCATCAATCACAGTAAAAAAAAGCAGAAGCAAAGCACCAAGGAAGATTCTTTAAACAAAATCTCAAAACAACTGACTTAATTGGGAGCAATAATGGATTGACCGATGTTCCAATTGATGCTGCAACGTGACAGAAGGGAGAGAAGAGGGAATGCTGCTTACCTTAGACCCTAGATGAATTCAGAGGCAGAGAAGAAAGGGGCGAGGAATTTCAAGCTATGGGAGGCTTGAGAGACGACGTCAATGAGATTTTGAGGTGATTCCTAGGAATGGCCAAACGGTGGAGAAAGGCGGACGATGGGACTGCAAGAAGGAAGGGGCTTCGGTCCGGGGAGCATAGCAATTATGAAATTTGGGGATCGGTCAGAATTTTAAGGAGTGGATTCACAGAGACTAAGTTGGTATCAAACTTTTTGGGTAGGGATGGCAGGGGGCGGTGTCAAAAAATACCCCTGGTCAGTTAGCTAAGTACACATAACAAAATAAAGGCATACGCAAGGTTTGTAAAATCGGGATTTCATGTAGGATCGATTTTAGTTTTACAGAATCGGATTGTAGGATCGTAAGATCCCATCAAAAATTTCTAAATTTACTAAATTACTGAAATTGAAATTCATATACCATTTTGTACATCCTAAAAGATATCAAATAAATAAGTTACTCATAAATATATAGCATTTTTTACTTACTATCTGACAAGTAATAAAAAAGAGAATATAAACCTGTTATCTGTCATGATTTCAAGTCTTAAAAGCAAATGCTTCACAATTTACACAATTATAATTTCAAATATAAAATAATCATCAACCTTCACAAATACTAAAAAGCCAAACATCCAAAACGATTTTCAAGATCAAAATTAACTACTAAAATGTCATTTGTCAAGTTTAAACAAATATGGAAAAATAAAAATAAAATAGTAACAATTCATCGTTTTCAAGTATCATAATAATTCAAAAATACATTAATTTATAACCAATCATTGTCATCATTTTCGAGTAATCCCACAGTATTTACACTGAACTTTTTTGTATTAGAATCAATTTCAATTCCATGATCCCACCCGGGATCCAATCGATCACCCGGTGCATTTTTTTCTACTTTGTTTCTTTGAAGTAGATGAAGACATTTAAGCACTGCCAAATATATTAGAATATTCATAAGAATCCAAGAAATTTAGACCAGACCAGCACTTGATAAAAGAAAATAAAGCTAGCATTCAGAAAATAAGCTAGACCAGCCCAGCACAAGAAATGCAGTCTTATTACCAATGATTTTTGCAAGGCCAAGTGCAAATCCAATGAAAACATAGGTAAAGGACATAACAGAAGCAACAATAGAAGTTCAGAAATTAATGCTAGAACAGCAACAATCCATTTGTGTGCATTTTCTGGAAAATAAAACAGTGCTGCTTCCTCATGTTTCGTGTATAAAAGTTCAGAAAAAATCCAGTTAAAGAGACTTTTCTCTTGACATATAAACAAAATGTTGGATTTGTGTGTGCAAGGTCACATCATTAGCAAATGGCTTAGCAAATAATTTAGGTCCACAATGGGAGCTTATTGGCATAAATGTTTCTGTTTTGGTTGCATTTATCAAAATAATTTCAAATGCGACCATGGGACATGATTTAAATATGTAAGTCCGCCAGAGACTTGCTAAAACATCTGCGCCTGTAGCTCAGTGGATAGAGCATCTGTTTCCTAAGCAGAAAGTCGTAGGTTCGATAGTGGTAATGTCTTCTGAATTCTGATTTAGTCTCTAATCATTATTACAAAATAATAATACTCCTAGTTCCGATTTCTTCAACAAGTTCAGTGGGAAGATTTACGTGGTAGCAGAGTCTCGATTTCAGAGCTTCCTATGGAGAAGGCAAAAAAGAGTGTACCTAATAGACCCGTTAATGATTCTGAGAGCACAAATCCTAAGACAAAGCGCTGGTGCTTCAGAACCGTCAATAATTTTCAAGCAAGAAAACCAAATTTTCACAAATCCTAATGGACCCGTCAATAATTCCCTTCAACTCAATTCAATCAAAAGAAATATATGTTCAAATACCAAAGAAAACCAAATACAAATCACAATTTTATCAATCACCATCTCCCAAAATATCAATTTTCAAGCAAGAAAATAACCAGACTCACATGTGACTTTAATTGAAGTGCTGGTGCTTGAACTTCAATGTGGTGGCAGGCTGGCAGCACGAAAATTGGAGAAGAACGGGTGCTGGAACTTCAAGTTTTGAAGCTTGAAACGGCCCAAATCCGGCGGCAACGGAGGATTTCGTAGCTTGATATTCTTACCGAAGCAATGGGTGTTGGAGGCTGGAGATTGATGCTTTAAAGCTTGAAGCCTTGAAGCTCTCGGCTGTAACTTGTGGGTTCTTGGTAGAAGACGCAGATTTTCGTCTTGTTAGTACTTGGTTTTTTGGTAAGAGATGCTGCCGTGGTGGTTTGATGGTTTAATTTAGGCTTCATTTGGATAGGGTGAAATGGACAGAAAAGAAAGTATTCAGAGAGAAAGGACAGCCATTTCTTTCCTTTGGGAGTTTAACAACTGCAGAAGAGAAGTGAAATGAACGGATAAAAGTCTCCCTCCAATTGTTGAAAATTTTTCCGCCCAAAAGTGGGAAGAAAAGGACGGAAAGATGATGGGGCGCCAAAGACATTTTTAATATGACAAGTTTGTCCTTTAAAAGCTGATACAAAAATTTATTATTCCCAATATATCCTAAATTGATTTCTAAAAGCACTACAAAGCTTTCTTGGTGGTTTTCATGTACTTTCAATACTTCCAGCAGGTTGAGAAATCAGAAAACTTGGCTTTCTTTCTTTCATTCTTCACCCATAATTCACCAAACAAAAGGTATTTCTTTAACTCAATCTCTCTTTCTTTCTTTGCTCAGTCTTCACTAGAGCATTGTGAAAAAAGTATTTTTTTTGTGTAGATTCTTATTGTTTATACTCTAAATTTTTTGTTCGTTTTCTGTCATAAAATTCTTGTTAATGAACTCTTGATTTTATATTATTGATTTGTGATTATATCTTGCATGGTTATGGTACATGACAGCTTTAGTGGTGATAAATGGATATGAAATTTGAATGCATACAATATGTTTGTTTATTTGCCTATGTAAGATTCAAATTGTAAAATAATCCATCTAGAGTTCATAAACAATATGTTAGCCTCTTTTTATTATAATAATGCATCTTTCTTTGAAATGATTAACAAGATGATGATACTAGAAGTATTATTTTGAATAGTGGCTGATCGTCGAAACCAAAATGAGGTCTAACAAGATGGTGGTCATATGACAATAGAATAAATCATATTTGGTTACGTTAGTTGATATCAGTAAATCTCCTAGGCTATAGCAGTTCTATTTATATTCATAGAGGTGTTCCTGGCTGAGACCAAAATGAAGACATAAAAAATCAAATGCTTGATCAACTTAATTTAAAGCATGAAGAATTTTTCAGTAAAGTTTGGGTAGACAAAATGATATTTATATCTCAGTATCTTCCTTTAAAAACATCTTTATTTATTAGGATGTTGCATTATTTTTATTATTTACTGTAAATTATGTCAGCACTTTAAAAACATTAATATTAGAAAAATACTTCTTTTTATATTGATATTTAGAATTTTAACATTGTATTTGATAATGACTCCATAACCTTTGTAAATAAATAAAATTTGCTTTTTAATTATCTATTCATTCGTAAATTTAGTGTTCTAATACAAACATTTTTAGATGGATAAGGAACAAAATGAAGTCGATGGAGAATATGACATTCAACAAAGGAAGCGACAATTGGTTGCTACTGAAATTGTTTGTCATGTAGTAAACGTGATAATTGCTCGAAAACTAAGCCATGCAAATTATGTGGATCGACCCATTGGATATTGGTCTGCACAATGTCATTTAGTATGAGAGGAATTATTGATGCAACTTAGTACAAATGGATATTTGAGTAAGGTTATCCGTATGGGACCAGAAACTTTTAGGCGCTTATGTGACTTATTGCAAACACATGGTGGTCTACAACCTACTCAAAGAGCCATGGTGCAAGAGCAAGTTGTTAAATTTCTCCATATATTAACAATTCCCTCTAAAAATATCACAATGTCATACTTTTATCGGCGTTCTGGAGAAACCGTTAGTCGTCATTTTCATAGAGTTTTACGAGCAGTTATAGCATTGGAGGATCAATTTCTTCAGCAGCCTACGGGAGAACAAGTTCCTCCGGAAATACTTAATAGTGCAAGATTTTATCCATATTTTAAGGTGATATAAACTTTTCGACAACTTATTTTAAAAATTGTAAATTCATATAGAAATTATATTTTAACATAGTGTATAACTGTCAGGATTGTGTGGGTGCAATTGACCCATGTTCGCGTTAAGGTGCCTAATATTGATGCGGCAAAATATCGTGGTAGAAAAGAGCATCCAACACAAAATGTGCTTGCTGCATGTTCTTTGAATATGAGATTCACATATGTTCTACCTGGTTGGGAGGGAACTGCATCAGATTCAAGGATCATAAAAAATGCGCTCACTAGAGAAGATAAATTAATCATTCCTAATGGTAATACTTAGTTAATTATTCTTAGTGCATTTAATTAAGTAGTAACTATTTGATATTTGTATAGGTAAATATTATCTTGTTGATGCTGGATTCATGTTGAGAAGGGGACTTCTTACACCTTGTAGAAATGTAAGGTATCACTTGAAGGAATACTCAAGTCAACAACCGCAAAACTTTCGAGAACTATTCAATTTGCGACATTCATCATTGCGTAATGCAATTGAGAGAGCATTTGGTGTCTTGAAAAAATGGTTTCCAATCATTGGAGATACTCAACCAACTTATAGTGTTGAAATACAATCACAAATTGTGCTTGCTTGTTGTATATTACATAATTTTCTCATGGAGTTTGACCCTGACTTGGAGTACATTAATGAAGTGGATGAAGAATTGGCAAGTCAATCTCCATCGGAGGAGGAAAGTGGAGATATAAGTGCTGAAAAAGATCATTCTCAAGGAGAGAGTTTAAGGAATGAAATAGCAATGCAAATGTGGAATGATTACATACTATGACAACTTGACTTGATGCTGATTTCTTTTGTTTAAGTTGAAATGTGATCCTTATTTTGTTAACTTGTACTCTTATATTAATAGTATGAGTTTATAAATACAAGTTGCCACATGAATCTTCTTTTGTCTAATACATTCTGTATGTTTTTGGATCTATAAAACCATGTATTCATAATAGAATGGGTTAAAAACAAAAAAGCCCCCTGTGATAAGCCTAATACACAGAAAAGCCCCCCATGGTTTCAAAATATACAACACGGCCCCTCATGCTTTGAACTAAATTGTAAAGGTGACGGAATCCGTTAAACTTAACGGAAATGACT